AAAAAAAAAAAAAAAAAAAAAAAAGAGCTACCACATTGTGAGTTTGGCCATGAAAAGATGAGTGCTATTCTGCAGTGCATGTATGCCTGGTTTACCCAGCGAAAAGTGGCACCTTTCAAATGAGGTAGTGTGCTCCAGGCCACCCACCTGCTTTCTCCGGGATCAGCCTCACTGCCATTCATTAGACACGCTGAGTGCTTTTTTGGTTCAGGGTGGCCCCAGATGCTGGATCCTGACCGAACTCTTTGATAAGCCACTATGTAAGCCAAAATGTGTTACCATACACTGAAATGCCTTTGTAATTTGCCTACTTCTTAAATATCAAACTACATTCACATACAACGTTAATGAAAACAAATATCAATGAGTGGCAGTTGTTACTGGGTCCCATATACATAAAGTATAACCCACAGTATATATTGAAGAGGAAGAATTTAAAGAAAATTTTATATTAATCTTTAGAATGTTGAACTTCTATTGGATGTCATAGTGAAGAAAACACAATATTTGGGGCAAGGCAGACCAACTGGCCAGCTCCACTGCTACAATTACTTTATCTGTAAAATTGATGTGTAGTATATGTCTTTGTTCTTCCTTCAATAACCTTGGTTGCCTTTAATTCTGTGGCATAATTTATAAATCTGGAAAACACTCTATTTTTTTTACATACCTGTACTCCATTTCCTTTAAAACAGTGTCTGGTGGTCATAATATCAGTTCGCCTTTACCTCAAACTGGGCTGCTCCCCTATTGATGAAAAGAATTAGGAAGAGGGGCTGGAGTTTCTCATTGCTGTGGTTAATAATTTGCTAATGCATTTAAACTAATAGCAGACTCAAGACCTTAATCCTCTTTATCATAAAGGGATAAAGGCATTTATATTCTACCACTAGCTATTTCTACTGTTATCTTATGTCCCTGAAAATGAAGCTAATTCTTTCAGACATAGATTGCCCACTTTTGACACTAAGTTCTCCCACATGTCTGTGTCAGACTGTGCTGAATAATTTCATAGGTACTGTTGTGACAAGAAGAAAGTATGTATAATTATTTTTTAAATTCTTTTTATAGTATGTGGGGAAACAAGGAAAAACGAAAGACCAATAATGCTGCCACTCAGACCCTTGTGAATGATAGCGTCCTCCCCCAGGGGCTGCTGGGTGCCGCCCCCAGTTGTGCTTCTCCACAGGTGGAGCCACTTTCCACCCTGACTTGACTCGGTGGCAGCCATAGGAGCCAGTTTCATCCAGAAGCCTTTGTGGAAATATACTGGAGTCCTTGTGGAAGGACTTTTCTCCTAGAGGATGAAGCCCCACCATGCCACCTTGCTTTTGGAAAACTCAGAAAACAAGGGAGGCACCACCTCAGTCTCCAGACACTGCTGAGTTGTCTACAGCAAACCCAAATAAGCAGCTCCTTTTGAACTCATTAATTGACGAAAAGCAGCCCTGATTTTTAAAACTCCTTTGAGTCTGCTTTTAGATAATCTTGCATCTGAAACATCCCCTGTTAGTGTCTCTCTCATCATTCAGCCCTTGCTCTGGGCTTTCCTGCTTCTTGCCCTCTTCCTGGTGAAATCTCTAGCATGCATATTGCCAGAAATATGATTTTAAAATTGACCTTTTCTTCATCCCCTGATGCACTGCTCCCTTGTATGTGTACTGTGCCTTTC